TAAAACTTTAATAATAACAGACAATGTAACTAACGTTTACGAACGTAGGTTTTCGTCATCATACGAAACGTTGTACATTTGCTGTTATATTAAAGTTTTTCTTCATTACCCATTCAAGCCGTCTCCAGCCATTATTAACAGTTAAGAATATTATCAAACTTGTAGAATTATGCTTAGAATTTAGCTATTTTCTTTAGAACTGTCAGTTCTTCAATATGAAGAATGGTATTCCAGTGGGTTTTCCCTCTTTCTCTTGTACATGTGGAAATTTGTATGCGATGTTTCGAAGTCAAAGCCATTATATCTACATTGCACCTTCCTTGACTTTGACTTGATACATTGAAGATATTTTCATGTTATAAGAATATGGTGATCGAAGTTTGGATGATCTAGTACATCGAAAGAATCAACACACTTCTATACTTAAAAGTAGAGATAAGTAACTCCTAACCTTTTCTGGATATACTTATTGCAAAGAATACTGATGACCTGAAACTAAAAACTACTTCTGATTGAAAAGCAATCCATATGCACAAATATCTTAACTTCAATTCTTGTCATCCTGTATCTTTAAAAACAGCATCATTAATACCTTAGCATGCAGAGTACATTCAATACAGCAACAAATACACAGAAACTGAACATCTACGGCTTCAACAGACCTTTATTAACAATAACTATCCCCAACAACTAGTAAAAAACAAAAAAAAGACTGTAAAAAAAAATCCTACTAACCAGGAAAATGGATACAGGATAGTCATACCCTACTTTCCAGGACTTGGAAAAATTTAAAAGAATAAAGAATACCCTTAACATTCAAATTATGTTCAAGAGCCTGAATAACTAATGCAATATCTTAACAAAGGTCAAGTTGCAACTTCTGACTTCAATCCCAAGAAATGTTGTCTATAATGTATCATGTGAATATAAAAAAAGTAAACATTTGAGAGACTAAACGTTAGAATAAAAGTACACCATCATACACATTTCTATAGATACTTCAGCTATATGCATTATGTGTCAGAGAAAACAATCCCAACACTGGGTATAAATATAATTGTCTGTGATACCAAAACAGACGAATTAAAGAAGCAATTCCAATAGCAGCTCGTGAATGTGGGCATCCTAAAGGCATTAATGAAATCCACAGAATCCCTTTTATACTTGCTGATTTCCTTTTATCAAAGAAATCAACCCGTGTGTTGACTCTGATGCTGTAATAAAACTAACCTAACAGTTTTGTTTGTCCTTCATTTTATTTTATCTAACTTAACCTATTTATTTTTACTGTTAATCATGCCTATCTGGCATTATTTTAACAAGTCAGAATAATAATAACATGACTTGCAGTGTTTCAACTTGTATTATTATTCTATTTTAACTTATTATGCTTCAGGATTATTGTTGTACAGATAAAAAGGGTACATTCTTGTCTTTGTTGTTGCTTAAATTCAAATTGTTTCATTAGATCTTGTTATTCACTAAACATTTTGCACCTGTACAAGACTCAGATAATTGACACAAAAGCTTGTGTATTAAATAAAATTTAACAAAAAATAAAATAAAGTAGTGATAACCCATAAAAATGACAAATACAAATACGTGTACTCACATTATAAGCCTAAAAGGTGGATGATATAATGTTCAACAAATGATCTTTTTCAAATTAAGTGAAATACACAACTTTGCCCATTAAATTTAATTCCTATACATAATTGTAAAGCCTACCATTTTTTCAGAAGGTTTCATTTCAACAACATGATCACCAATCTCCACAATGATAGATTTCTCTAATCTCCCTGATGCTATCCCTCCATAATTGATTATAACACTAAAGTTTCCATCAACAAAGTCACGAGCTAACAAGTAACTGCATTCCGAGGCAAAATCATAGAAGGTTTTGTCAAAGGTGACAAAGTGCTCTGAGCCTACAAGCATGCCATGACCTAGAACAAAGATTATAAGTATTGTACATATACATATATAATTACATTAATCACAAAAAAATTGTGAACTCGCAGAATGTTATTTTTGTTACTAATTGTGTGTTACCAAAAAGCACTAATTATTTACTTCAGGAATTACTATGGCTGATCCAAGACTATATTTTGGAATTCCTTATCTCCCCCTACATTCAAAGAAATTGCTTCTAACATCCATTGAACGTTGTTATCAGGTGCTATGTATAACTTATGAAAATTCTTCTATTACTTCAAGTGTTCGTTTTATCTTCCATTACTTCAAATGATAAGTCCTAACATACTGATATAAATATTTAAAGTTTATTAATTAATCAAAACTTACCAGCATATGGTCCAATCCAATCTTTTTTAATTCCTGCAGATAGTCCTTGTACGGTGTCTATGTAGGAATAGTTTTGTGGTTCAGACTTTGTTAGTGCCCAAGCTTGTCGTAGAGTATGTGTATCTATAGGAAGGTACATTCGAAGTATCATCTCTCCACGCTCTGGATCAAATTCACGAATTTGTGCTATATCTGAATATTGATTTGACGTAAGTACCTGTGCTGTAACATTTTTTAAATCTTTCCAAACTTCATCCCAGGGCAGTTTGTCTTCTTCTCTTTTGATCTAAAGCATAACAGATAAAATTTTGTTTAAGGAATGTACATGAAAAGTTAATATTTTCCATATAGATACTGCCCACATTGCCCAAAATATTTTTGTAAAGTCATTAAGCTTTGAATGAAATTTCCACACCTACATTTATTAATAAGTACTGTGCTAGTCTATGAAGCAATTAGCATTAGACTATTGCCCTCCAATAGGAGGGTGACACATCCTTCATGCACAGTACCCCTCTAACTGGTTCTTAGTGTAGGGGATGTAGGTGGCTTGTACTACATTTCCAGGTAAACACCCAAGCCCTACTTTTGATCAAGAGTGTGTCCACTTGACATTATCAGTGGGATTACATTGACCCAAAGGAAAACTCTCCATATCAACATCCACAGTTTCTTTGGGACTGGGGAAAGAAGAGTTCTCCCTATGAGAAAATGGGAGAGAAGCATTTACAGAGGGGAGAACAAGAAAAAAGTTCTTGGACCAAACATGAATCATCACATCTCCAAGATCTCACACTGATAGATCACAAATAGGAAGAGCAAGGTATGAGGTCAGGATCATATCTGGTGCTATATATATATATATTTTCTTTCCTGAAGTACAGCCTGGTAGGTAAAGCAGTCTTGCAGAAAACCCCAACCTCTGTTATCCTCTACTCAATGCAGGTTTTGGGAGATAGGGTGACCCTATGAGGCTCCCGAGCATTAGAAACCTGTTGGGAATACTCTTTAGACCAAGTAAAGTGGAAAATCAAAACAAGAAGAGATGATTCCTCATTGGGAAGGAAAGAACCAGAAGCAAAACTGGTCATAGGAACAAATGGACAAAATCCTAGAAAGACAAAGCAAGCTGATTTGATGTAACAGAAGAGGAGGTAAAAAATCCTATATTTGAAATTAGTATGGAATTGTCTACCTAGTGCACAATGGCAGTAACATCATTAGCCATCAGTACTCCTAAAGTTCCCATTGAAAAGATGGAAAATAATTCCAGTTGTGGAGTGTAAGGACATTGGGAGGTGTCAGGATATGTGTCAGGATATGTGAACTTATAGTCGAATTGATCCATGAAATCATTTTTTTTTTTTTGCATAAGTAGGCCTGACATATCTGTGTTACATATGCCTTGGTCAGTGACATAGTGAAAACATTTCTCATTAGTTATCAAACTCTGAACAGTGGGTGAATAACAATGGAAGAATATTCCTGTCAAAGAAACCATGTCACAAACTCTGAAATATGTGTCCAATATCTGTTAATTCCATTAAGAGATGAAATAAAATTAACTGAAAACATATATAATAATTAAAATCAGAAGTTCTAGCTGAAATGCTTAAAATTTTGAATTTTGTTTTTGATAAAACCAATAATTCCCTAATTGATAATACAAAAAACATTTAAATGCCAAAGAAAGAATGAGCTTTTGTTAACACGTGGGACTCTACTTCATATAAAAGATGTGCTGCCCTCTTATTGGTGGAAGGATATAGTCTAATGCTGAATACATCATAGACTTGTGTAGTATACGTATTAATACATGTAGGGTGTGAAGTTTAATTCAAGGCTAAGTGCATATTAGGCAGTGGCATGAGGTAACAACTATCACCTCTGTGAAGAGTTTTCTATTCTTCTGGCCAGAGAAAAATAATATTTTATAATACTAACATAGATAAAGCAATATAACTACATATAACAGTAATATTATAAAGAATGTGATCATAGCAGGAATACTTCTTTGATTGTAATTTGTATTTATTGCAAACTACTGAGGCTATCTGCTGTTGTCTCTAATTTTGAACTACTGACCATATGGAAGTTAGCCAGTCAACAGCACCTGCCATCTATGCTAATGGATTGACTATTACTTTCATAATACACTCACTTCTTAAAGTGCAAGGAATACTTTATGATATCTCACAGGTTCAAATCCAGCTCCAAAATTCAAATCTCTATTACAGGGCCAATGCACAACCTTCTTATTGAAACATTTTGTTTAACTTTATATATTAATATATAAATTAATATATATTTTATATTAATAAAATACACTTTAAACATGTTTTTGTTCTACTTTAAAATCCACAAATTTCTGCATTTATAAGGAAAGTATTATTAATGATATTAAAAACCAAGAATAAAACTTTTGAAATACATATATATAAACAGTCTTGCCTTTTTAAACAACAAATTGCTTTGATAATAGAAAAACCTATTGCACAGATATTTTGTTAATACTAAAAACACAAAAACTAAGCAAACAGTGTTTTGACAAAATTGAAAATAAATATTTACACTAAACTAGAAAAACAATATACATAGCTACCTCTTGGTAGATTTCTGAAAGGATCTTATAATTACTGTCATTATTAATGTCTCTCATTAGTTCCTCTACATGTCGGTTAATGTTGTATTCCATCTCTCCAAATTTGTCACATAACCAGTTCCAAACAAATTCATAGAAGTCACTTGTTACTTCTGCTACAAGTGAAGTGCTAACAGCTTCAGTGATACTGTTTGTTGTCTCAAACAAAAGTTCTTTCACGCTTTCCAAAGTGAAAGAAGAAACAACTTCTGCAAGATAATTCAAATTTTGATAGATATATTAGTAAGGAACCAAAACATATTTATATATATAAGCATAACACTTATATAACATTCATTTAATGAATAAAATTACATATATTTTTTTGCTCATTTATACGATGTTTTCTTTCTCAAATAAATTCTATACATAATCAACAAAACAAAAAGATAATGGAAAGTTTCTGTTCTACTCAATAAAAAAATTAACTTAAGACTAGCACACACTTACTGCACATGCAAGTTATATTTACTTGTAGTAATAATGTGGTTGATACACACACACACACCCACATATATATATATATATATATGTACACACGCATATATATCAGGCAAGTGGTAGCACTGCCTATGTAGGGATGGCTCAGATTGTTCATCGAAATGGTATTTTAAATATCACTTAAATAGGTCATTAGAACTTTACAATACTATACAGTGTTTCCTTTTATAACAATACCTATGTAATGACTGAGTCACAAGTTTTAGGAATGTCTGTAAATATCACAGCAGAAAGTTTGAATTTCTTGTTCTTCTTCCTTCTGCTTCTTTTTCTTACATAACTCAAAAACCAAAACAATGGTGTCAACCAATTTTACTGAGGTGACATAGTTTCAAATGGAGTATTTGATTTTATAAGTATTATTAATAACTATTAGTAATTTAAAAAATCATAATTCTAGTGTAAACGATGTTATCATTACCCTTTGAAGTTAGCTTTCTTACAGAAATTTGATGTTCCTATAAAAAGCTTAAGTACATGTGAAACATGAATTACCAGCCAATAATAGATAAACAATAAATATTACAGTTGGAACCTCAATGTATTTAGAACTTAATGATAAATACAACCTTCCTATGTCAATTGAAACACTGCATTAAAAAACAAGTAAACAAGTAAAGAAAAACTTTTCAAAAAAGGAAGTAACTGTAGGAATGGCTTATATAAATCCTTAAAAACAAGATAGTAGGGATGGCATTTACATTATCCCTACATAATAGCACAGACAAGAATTAACATATAGCAATATATATATATATATATATATATATA